TGAAGCCTTATGTTTGACAAAGTGTTTGGCCCATGGTGGGTGTTCGGAGTCCATTAGCAACTTCTGCCTTTGTAGATGTTTAGGGAGCTCCTGTCTCTAAACCAGGGCTTCTCAACTGCAGCACTGCAGATACTTTGGGATGTACAATTCTCTACTGTGGGAGCTTATCCTGGGCGTTGCAGGGTGTTTAGCAGCATCTTTGGCCTCCACCCATTAAATGCCGGTTGGAGCAACCAAAATTGTTTCCAGACATTGCCAAACTTACCCTGAGGGCTAAAATCACCCACCCCTGTGAGAACCCCTGCCTTGGCCACACTCACTGCCAGATTCACTGAACATGGTGCACGCACTGTTCACACGCTGGGTGTCCCTTCACTGAGCGGCAGACAAAGGCAGGGAGGCTCTCGTGGCTTGGGGGGCTGTAATCAGCCTGTGGTGGCCAGTGTTGTTGCCTTTGGAGGATTGGCACCCAGCTCACCATTTCAGCTGGCAATTATCTGAACAGAAGTGCTCTAATTGCCTGAGGATCGGGTTTCCTCTGGGGGTCATTTTTTTTTTCAATTCTCCTGTTGTTGTTTATTTATACTCATCCCAATAAAAAGCACGTGCTCAGCTGCACAGAGTGTTAATGACGGGAGGGTTGCTCCAGACAGCGCCTGGGGAGGCGTCTGCAGATTCATCCACCAGAGGTTTCTCCTCTGCTGGATCTGTCTGGCAGGGCCCTGGGGGGTCTGAGGTGGGGGTGTGTGTGTGTGTGTGTGCATGTGCATGTGTGTGTGTTTGTACACACTGAGAAATGGGCGTTTGTTGCCTCTCTAAGTTTGTACTTGTAATAACACAAGCGCCTCCTCCAAGGAAGTTTCTTTCTTCTTGTCTGGCCACCAGACTGGGTCTGTGCCAGCTCAGACTTCCTGCACCCCACGCCAGGCCCCTGTGTCTTTCAACTTGATTCTGGGGGTGCTGAGACCCAAGGCAGTCCCCGCTGCCTCTCCCCCAGCAGGGCAGCTAATACAGTTAATGAGGAAGCCATACGTGTGTAGCACTTCATGGTGAACAAGCCGCTTTCTCATCGGTCATCATCATGATCAGGATATTAAATAAGTCATCTTTATTCAACACTGACTGTGCCAGCCGCTATACAGGGCTGCGTTCCTCCTTTCATCCATTCATGCATGCATGCATTCCTTCATCCAAACTGATAAATATTGAGTGCTGCCATAGCCCAGCCATCATTCGAGTGCTGGGGGAGTGAGAAACAATGGCCCCACTCCCACCATCCACCACACAAGGGCTTTATAACTGTGAGCACTGGTCGTGCTTGGGGCCAAAAGCCAGGCTTTGGGGACAATTCAGCTTCGAAGGCTGGCTATGTGTGGACTAACAGTGGGATCTTGAACAAGTTGCTTAACATCTTCTAGAAGCTCCTTTGCATTTCAGTTTCATTCATTATCTGTGAAACGAAGGTGGTAATCGAGCCTCCTGATGCTGTTATGAGGATTCAGCAAAGAAATACATAAATGAATAAGATAATTTCAGTTACTGATAAATGGTAGAGATGAAATAAAGCAGGGGAATGTGATAGAGATTTGCCAAGAGGGGCTTTTTTTTTTTTTTTTTTAAACATGCAATGTCATCAAAGAAGACCTCAGACCAAGCTCTTAAGGACAAATAACAAGAAAATTCCTGGAAGAGAAGCAGCCCAGAAAAATGCCTGGAGGTGGCAACATGGGTGAATTGCTCAAGGAACAGAAAAGCATCCAGGGTGTCTAGAGCCTAGAGTAGGGGCAAGAGGGGGACATCGGAGGGAGGGTGTACTCAGAGACCAGTAACTGGACTTCTTCAGCCATGATGAAGAGTTGGAATTTTGTTCTAAGGACAATGGAAGCCATTGGAAGGTTTTCTGTGCCAAAGCGATGTGATCTGAAAGAAGCTTTTATGAAGCCCACAGTGTCTACTGTGCAGAGAATGGAGTAACTAACAGGCCAAGAGGAACCCTAGGGAGACCAGTTAAGAGACAGAGGCAGTGAGGAGGTGGGTGAGTTTCCCATTGCTGCTGTAACAAGCTTACCACAAATCTCATGTGGCTTAAAAAAACACACACATTTATTATCCCAATGTTTTGTATGTCAGAAATCTGACATGGGTGTCACTGGGTTAAAATCAAGGTGTCGACACAGCTGTGTTCCTTCTGGAAGCTCCAGAGGAGAATCCATTCCTTGCCTTTCCCAGCTTCTAGAAGCTGCCTGCAGATGTAGGCTGTGGCTTCTCGCCCATCTTGAAAAACAGAAATATAGCATTTTCAAATCTCCCTCCTCCTGTCTCCCTCTCTCTCTCCTACAGCATCACCTCTCCACTAACTCTGACCCTCTGGCCTCCCTTTCCTAAGGACCCCTCTGATTACATTGGACTTGATACAGTTTGGATTTGTGTCCCTACCCAAATCTCATATTGAAATGTAGTCCCCAGTGTTGGAGGTGGGGCCTGATGGGAGGTGACTGGATCATAGGGGTGGATTTCTCATGAATGGGGACAGTACCATCCCCTTTGGTACTGTCCTCTCGATAGTGAGTGAATTCTTATGAGATCAGGTCATTTAAAAATAGGGAGCATCTCCCCCTGGCTCTCTTGCTCCTGCTTTCGCCATGTGGGGTGCCTGCTCTGGATTTTCCTTCCACCATGAAGAGAAGCTTCCAGAAGCCTCCCCAGAAAGAGATGTTGCCATGCTTCCTGTACGGCCTGCAGAACTGTGAGCCGATTAAACTTCTTTTCTTATAAATGACCCAGTCTTAGGTGTTTCTTTATAGCAGTGCACGAATGACTACCACCGGGCTCATCTAGACAACCAGGATAATCTCACTATCTTAAGGTCCTTAGCTTAATCACATCTCAAAAGCCCCTGTTGCCATGTGAAGTCACCCAGTCACAGGTCTTGGAGATTTGGGTAGTGGGCACCTTTGGGGCCTATTATTCTGCTGATCCCGGGAAATGAGCCATGATGGAGGCTTGGATGGTGCCAGTGGGACTGGAGAGTGGTAAGTACATTGGGGATTTATTTTGAGGCAGAACCACAAAGACTTGCTGATGGAGGATGTGGGGCTGTGAGGGAAAGACTAGAATCAAGAGGGTGCCCTTTACTGAGATGGGGAGAGAGGGCAGGCTTGAGTGGGGAAGAGAGGCCGATCAAGGGGTTTTGTGGCCATGATTATTTCGAGTTGCCCACTGGAGAGTTGAGGGGACATGTCCAGCAGGCAGCTGGATGAATGAGCCTGGAGTCAAGGACAGAAGCTGGGCTAGTCATGTGAGTGTGGGGGTCTCCAGATCCAGAGGTAAGATGTAGCCACAGGACAGGATGAGAGCATCCATGATGTCAGGAAGAGCTGAAGGTCATGGACTTTTAAAGATGGAACCAAAGAGGAGAAGCCAGCAAAAGCATACACTACTCCTAAAACAGAGATCTGACCTCATCACCCAAGGCCTAGACACTTCTCTCCTCTTAGCAATTAGTTTCAACATCAGCACTTGGGAATAGAGAGGGTTCTCACCATGAGTGGGTACTCACTCTATGCTAAAAATAGTGCTAAATTCCTTACATACATTATTACATTTCAGACCCCCTTTCTTCTCTTCCTCTTTCCCTATTTTGGGGGAAGGGTGGGAATGATGGAATTAGGTTGAGTGTGGAGGGTGGGAGAGGTGGGGGTGGGGTTGAGTGTGGAGGGAGAGGTGGGGTGGGGTTGAATGGGGAGAGTGGGAGTGGTGAGGATGGTGTTGAGTGTGGAGGGTGGAAGTGGTGAGGGTGGGGTTGAGTGGGGAGGGTGGAGTGGTGGGGGTGGGGTTGAGTGTGGAGAGTGGGAGTGGTGGGGTGGGGTTGAGTGGGGAGGGTGGAGTGGTGGGGGTGGGGATGAGTGTGGAGGGTGGTGGTGGGGGTGGGGTTTAGTGTGGAGGGTGGAATGGTGGCGTAGGGTTGAGTGGGGAGGATGGAGTGGTGGGGGTGGGGTTGAGTGGGGAGGATAGAGTGGTGGGGGTGAGATTGAGTGTGGGGAGGGTGGGAGTGGTGGGGTGGGGTTGAATGTGGAGCGTGGAGTGGTGGGGTGGGGTTGAGTGTGGAGGGTGGAATGGTGGGGTGGGGTTGAGTGTGGAGGGTGGGAGTGGTGGGGTGAGGTTGAGTGTGGAGGATGGAGTGGTGGGGTGGTGTTGAGTGGGGAGGGTGGAATGGTGAGGGTGGGCTTGAGTGGGGAGAGCGGGAAACCACTTAGACTTTGTTGTTTTTTCCAGCCAAGGTAGGAACTTTGGCTTTTTATTGAGATCAAAGGGAATGCATGAGGGGCGTGGACAAGGGCTGGCGGGCTGCAGGTGGAAAGTGCATGCAGTGGGAAAGTGCAGCCGCCGGGTCCAGGGTGCATTTTAGAGAGGACAGGCTGGAGGTCATGGTGTGGTCCAGAAGAAAGCTCAGGAACTGGAATCATGGTGTTAGTGGTTTAGAAAAGTGGTCCGATGCCAGAGGCTAAGTCACTTGGCTTGGTTCACACACCAGCAAGTTCAAACCCAGTTCAGTTGTGTTGCAAAGCCAATATGCTAAGTCACCATAATTTAACAACAGGTTTCCCCTCAAGGTATCATGACATTTTTGTTTTGGGTCTCAACCAACCAGCATTTGTCAAAGAGAGATGGAGAGAGAGAGAAGGAAAAGAAGGGAGGAAGGGAGGAAGGGAGGAAGGGAGGAAGGGAGGAAGGGAGGAAGGGAGGAAGGGAGGGAGGGAGGGAGGGAGGAAGGGAGGGAGGGAGGGAGGGAGGAAGGGAGGAAGGGAGGAAGGGAGGGAGGGAGGAAGGGAGGGAGGGAGGGAGGGAGGAAGGGAGGGAGGGAGGGAGGAAAGAAGGAAGGAAGGAAAGAAGGAAGGAAGGAAAGAAAAATAGAATAGAATAAAATCACAGTTTATTGCACGGAGTGAAGGGAAGGGCTGCTGTGTGCATATGTGTTTCTGTGCTGTATGCTTATCTGCAGATGCATGTACCAGGCTGTGATATGAAACCTATTTTTATGACTGGTTGTGGCTCCTCTGAGCTGCTATTGGGTTTGCCCTCCACCCCCTCTCACGCTGACTCTGGGCCCTTCAAAATGAGTCATAGAGAGTCATTACCACTACCCCCGCCTCCAACCCGGACTCTGCTGTATACCTCATGGTTTCTGATAATACAGCATTGTGAAGTCGGGGGAAGGCTGGCAGAGGGGCCCAGTCCAATCTGTGACCTGAGCTACCATGGCAGGGTCCAGGGCCAGAGGAAGGTGGTGTGAATCCCCAGTAATGCAGGTCCTTTCCAGGCCAGGCCCCTGGTCCCCAGGAGTGCGGGGCTGCCCGAGGTCTACTGCTGCCTTATCCAGAGCTGCCGCTCCCAGCGATGACTCAGAGTCCCTGTGGCCCCAGCATCATCCCTCCATCCCTGGCTGTGAGGCAGGAGCAAAGTTGCAGACCTGAGAGGCCTTTAATTTGTTTGATATAAGACTTTGCCGCCAAAGTGCTTTGCCTATGAGGTCTGGCTTGGCCTGGCCTCTGAGAAAGAACAAACACAGTCCTCACTGGAAGGAACCTGGAGAACGGGAGAGGAGAGGCTGCTGCTGTCTGCCCTCCCAGCAGCAGGTATAAAGACAATGGGCTTCTAAGTGCCCTAGAGTCCCAGCTGTGTAATTTAAGGCGAGTTCATCTCTCATAGCCTCAGTGTTCTCATTTGCCAGCACCTGTCTTTCTCCTTCATAGCCACTGTCACTCTTGCAATGATATCAATGCTTACATTTCAGACAGATTCCCAGCCAGGTTGAAAGGAACGTCAAGACCCTCCCTTTCTTATCACATATGTATCAACTCCCTTCTACCTTGCCTCCCTCCACTTGGAGCCAGTTCTAACTGGTGAAATGTAGCCAGAGGTTCCTGGATAGGCTTTCCTTCTCAAGTAAAGCCTGGCTCAGAGAAAACCACTGGTCTCTTTCCTTTTCTTCCTCTAGACATGAACATGGAGCAGGAAGGAGCATGGAGAAGACAAGAACAAGACTCTCAGAAGGAAGTGGTGTGGCTGGAGCCATAAGAACTGGTCGTGGAGGAGGTGAGGAGTGTGGGAGAGGTGGGGGTGTGGTTGAGTGGGCAGGGTGGGAGAGGTGGGGATGTGGTTGAGTGGGGAGGGTGGGAGTGGTGGGGTGTGGTTGAACGGGGAGGGTGGGAGGGGGGGTGGTTGATGGGGTGTGGGAGAGGTGGGGGTGGGAGAGGGAGGGTGGGAGAGGTAGGGGTGTGGTTGAGTGGAGAGATGGGAGAGGTGGGGTGTGGTTGAGTGGGCAGGGTGGGAGAGGTGGGGATGTGGTTGAGTGGGGAGGGTGGGAGTGGTGGGGTGTGGTTGAATGGGGAGGGTGGGAGAAGTGGGGGTGTGGTTGAGTAGGGAGGGTGGGAGAGGTAGGGGTGTGGTTGAGTGGAGAGAATGGGAGAGGTGGGGGTGTGGTTGAGTGGGGAGGGTGGGAGTGGTGGGGTGTGGCCTGGAGATACAGCAGCCACTTTTGGACCATGAGGATATTTGAAAGACATGAAGAACAGAATGATAGAAGCACATTTGTGACATTGTGACATACAGCAGACTTTATGCCCACCTTTTGATTTCTTACCTATTTAAACACTGAAATCTGGTCTTTTACTTGTAGGCAAATACAATTTCTGACTTACATAACGACATACTCACAAGAAGCCTCTCCTTGAATGTAATAATTCAGCAAACAGTTATGGAGTCCTTACAATGTGCTCGTGGAACTTTGAAGATGAATCCAAATTTGGATCCCGGCCTGAAAAGGCTCAAAGTCTAATATGGGAAGTAAGAAATGTAGAATCCATATAACGACGGGGTCTCCCCGCCCCTTAAGATCTAGTTATGAGTAGCTGCAATTTCTGTGAATTCCAAGGTGGTTTTACCACCTCAAGTTCACATTTAGATCTGACTTCTGGCTTCTTTTAGGAAGTTCCCATCTCTAAATCTCATCTCTGTTCCTTTATTTCTGCCAGCCTGGATCCAAATGTGAAACTTATCTTCTTTTATTAACCAATCAACCACCTCCTGCCAAAACAACAACAAGAACAACAACACAAAAAACAAAAACAAAATAAAACAAAACTCGGCGTACACAAGACCTTTGTTTCTACAGCAGACTTGGCTAAAGGTTTGGGCATGCATACCCCCAAAATTAAAAAATGGAAAATTGAACACTTCTGTCCTTCAAAGTTATTTGGTCTCTCCTACAGGGTCTTGCCTTTATCTCCGTTCTCCCCGCACTCCCACCACCTCACTTAATCCCATGGCATGCTACATCCTTGAATAAATATGCCCAAGGCAGATGTGGTAATGAAGATTGGTTGAGAATTCTGAAGGTAGACGTCCCAGACGCCAATCACACAATTTCTCTGTGGCTCACTTTTCTTATCTGTGAAAAGGGATCTAATTACCACCAGCCCCAACCCCAACAAACCCACCTCACAGAATGGGGTGAGGATTCAGTGGGCAGTCCCTGGAATAGGGGCCACAGGCCCTATGACACTGAGTATCATTCATATTCTAGTTCTGTATTCTGTGTCCCCTATCGACCCAAGACAATTTCATTTAAAACAGAAAAAGCTTCTATCTCAGGTAGAAAACCCATCAATCATCACTGGGTGTTGTCTTCCAGTGATTCTGAGCAGAAACAACAGGGAACGTATGTCTTCATGTGACTTAGTGAGCAAAGAGATGGAGTCTTTTCCAAGAAGAAAGTGGGAGGTTTGGGACCACTGACATATTTGGCCCACTGATTCCATTCCCCTAGACCAACACATGTTCGTCAAATTGAATCACTCTTATGGGGAATTCAACGGAACTCTGGTGCCCATTGCATTAGTTTTTGATGATGGAAGGCTCTTTGTGAACTTGAACTTGAGGGGTCTGGCTACCCCTCTGAAATGTCTTTTTTGAGATAAAATCATATGACATAAAATTCACCCTATTAATGTGTACAATTCAGTGGTTTTTAGTATATTTACAATGTCGTGCCACCATCACCACAATCTAATTCCCAAACATTTTTATCTCCTTAAAAAGCAGCCACCCCCCATTCCCCCATCTGTAGCCCAGGGCAATCCCTAATTTGTGTTCTGTCTCTGTGGCCTCTCAGAGACTTCTGGCACCAATCTCTCCAGTCTATGAGCTGTGAACTCCCTTTTTAGCAGATCTGACCCTGACACCTGCTATCTTACCTTTGCTTCTGGACACCCAGATTGAATCTTCCCTAAAAACCAACTTTGCATTGTTTGCCCAACATTTGAACCTCCTTCCTATATTTGCATAACTGCTCAGTGTATGACTCATTGTAGGAGGAGTCAGTGGCTATCTTTCTCTATTAAGGCTCCAAAAGATAGATTCATGCTTTCCCAGACTTCCTTGCAACGAGTCCTAAGATGGGTGTGCTAGGCTCAAGCTCAGCCAATGACCATGAATCTGGAGCCAGTGGCCTGAAAAGTCAGGGGCAGTGAAGAATCTTTGCTGGTAGTGTGGTGGTAGCAGTAGTAATGTCAAAGGCCTACCGGCAGCCGGGCTGTGGGCCCATGGCAGTAGGACCATGCTCAGTGGCACTAATGTCTGCACTGGGCTGGCTGTTTCTGATTTTGGTCATCTCCTAGACTCCCTTGTTCCTGGCCACTGTTTAAGCTGGTCCTCCAGCCTTCTTGGCTGTTGAGTGAGCTAGATCCTATCTTTAAAATAGATTTCCTTTCAATTAAAATCATCCAGAGGTGGTTTCCACGCCTGCAGTCAAGGACCCCATCTGGAAGAAGTATTTTATGAGTAGAGTCTTAACCAGAATGGGCCATAGGGTTTTGCCCCAGAATACCGCAATTGAGAGGACACCATACTTTGAAGCTTGAACTCGCTTCCCCATGCTCTTCCTTATTCCTGTTGCAGTGCTGAGCTGGCCTCTTCTTCTGGGAGCAGTGCCTTAGCAGCAGGTGGACAAAGACAGAGACGGAGACTTAAGATCAAAGGCACTGAGTGTCTGACCAGGGGTCCTTCCATGAGGGAGGAGAGCAAGCCCCTCCTCTGTTTCTCTGAATTTCCTTATTTAGAAACTGAATTTCTGGGCCAGGTGTGGTGGCTCACACCTGTAACCCTAGCACTTTGGGAAGCTGAGGTGGGTGGATCACCTGAGGTCAGGTGTTTGAGACCAGCCTGGCCAACATGGCAAAACCTCGTCTTTACTAAAAATACAAAAAGCAGCCAGGCATGGTGGTGTGCGTCTGTAATCCCAGCTACTCAGGAGGCTGAGGCAGGAGAATCACTTGAACTTGGGAGGCAGAGCTTGCATTGAGCTGAGGAGCTGAGATTGCGCCATTTCACGGCAGTCTGGGCAACAAGAACAAAACTCCATCAAAAAAGAAAGAAAGGAAGGAAGGAAGGAAGGAAGAAAGAGAGAGGAGGGAGGGAGGGAGTGAAGGAAGGAAGGAAGGAAGGAAGGAAGGAAGGAAGGAAGGAAGGAAGGAAGGAAGGAGAAAGAAAGAAAGAAAGAAAGAAAGCAATTGAGGGCCGGGCGCGGTGGCTCAAGCCTGTCATCCCAGCACTTTGGGAGGCCGAGACGGGCGGATCACGAGGTCAGGAGATCAAGACCATCCTGGCTAACACGGTGAAACCCCGTCTCTACTAAAAAATACAAAAAAAAACTAGTTGGGCGAAGTGGCGGGCGCCTGTAGTCCCAGCTACTAGAGAGGCTGAGGCAGGAGAATGGCGTGAACCCGGGAGGCGGAACTTGCAGTGAGCTGAGATCCAGCCACTGCACTCCAGCCCGGGCGACAGAGCGAGACTCCGTCTCAAAAAAAAAAAAAAAAAAAAAAAAAGAAATTGAGTTTCTGGCTGCTTGTTATGGTTTGAATCATGTCCCCACAAAACACCTGCTGAAGTCACACCCTCAGTATCTAAAAATGTGATCTTCTTTGGAAATAGGGTTGGTGCAGATGTAATTAGTTAGGATGAGGTCACACTGGAGTAGGGTGGGCCCTTAATCCGGGAGGGCTGGTGTCCTAATGAAGAAGGAGGATGACACAAAGACAGACACACAGGGAGAATGCCATGTGACCATAAGAGCGGAGGTTGGAGTGGTGCCGCTACAAGCCTGTGATTGCCGGTCACCACAAGAGCTAGAAAGATACAAGGAGGGATTTTAGCGTCAGGAACTATGAGGAGCATTTATGTTGTTTTAAGCCACTCAGTTAGAGGTAAAACTAAAGGAAACTAAAACATCTTTTGAATCCCAATTCCTGGCCATACCTCTGCTTAACAGGACAGCCTTGGAAGCAGACAGAATGGGGTTTGAGTCTCAGCTCTGTTATTACCCGCTGCATGGGTTCGGAGGTAAGCTGTTTACCTCCTTGGCATCTCCATTTCCTCATCTGCAAATCAAAGATGAACATAGCTCCTTCAAAGACTGTTAAACATTTAGAGGAGCGCACGGCACATAAATGGCAACTATTAATATGAAAGAACTGCTTCCTGTCAGTATCTGGCCCCAATGGTCGCTTCCTGTTGAGGGAAACAAGTCTAAAGCCTGCTCTTAGAATACAGATTGGTGCCGTGGATTATTCAGATACAATGAATTTTCTTTTTTTAAGAAAAGAGATAATTCTGTGTTTGCTATATTTTTCCTTCCTATTTTTTAACATCTTTCTGCACTTTTGGTTTATGGTGCAGGAAGCCCTCTTTACCCAGAAAAGTGGGTGCTACCTCCTTCACATGGGGTGCTACCTCCTTCACATGGGGTGCCTACTGTTGCCCAAGGACAGAGCCTCCAGCCAGCCAGGGTAGAATGGAGAGGGTGCAGGTGCTGCCCAGGCCAGTAATCTAGCTGCTGATCTGGGGATAGTCAAAGCAACCGGTGGCTTTAATATCCGCTCTTCACAGCTTCATCTCCACTCGAGATGGCTGTGCTGATTGTAATGCAATAAAGCTGGAGTTTTGCGGGGAGAATGCTGTCCCTGGTTATTTCATTTAGAAGCCATCGTAATACTCTTCTGGGAGAGATAAGAATGATTTAAGTAATTCAGGACTCCAGGAGTCCAGGACATTTATGGTTCCTTCTAACCCTGGGGAATTTTATGATTTGAGGCCTACGGCCACAGAGCAAAGCCAGCCTGCTGTTGATATGGGGAACAGATTTAACAGGTGTGAGCGCCTGTCGGTGCCAGGTGATTTATATACAACTGTCCACGTTTACCTCGCAACAACATTTAGGGAACATCAGGCCAGGTTCCCCAGAAGTGGACCCTGTATAAAGATTCCTGTGGCCAGACACGGTGGCTCATGCCTGTAATCCCAGCACTTTGGGAGGCCGAGGCAGGCGGATCACCTGAAGTCAGGAGTTGGAGACCAGCCTGGCCAACATGGTGAAACCCTGTCTCTACTAAAAATACAAAAAGTAGCCAGGCATGGTTGCGGGCGTCTGTAATACTAGCTATTTGGGAGGCTGAGACAGGAGAATCGCTTGAACCTGGGAGGCAGAGGTTGCAGTAAGCCGAGATCACGCCGCTGCATTCCAGCCTGGGCAACAGAGACAGACGCTGTCTCAAAAAAACAAAAAACAAAACAAAAAAATCCTGTGCACATGACTTATTAAGGAGGAACTCCCAGTGGAAACTGGCAGAGGAGATGGGGAGAGGGGTGAAAAGAGAAAGAAGCCCAGGACGAGTGTGATTTCAGGCTGAGACCTGTGCAGGGGAGCTTGAGTTTGCTCCTGCAGGGGAACCCTGGAGCATACCGTGCACCTGTCCTGGATGCCAGAAAGCTGGACTTCCATACCCCTGCTCCCACCAGTCACTGGCTCTGTGCCTTGAGGCTCAGCACAAATAAACTCCCAGGCACCTGTGGTTCCCATCTGTGCCTATAAAAGGCTTTAGTAACCCAAGGGCAGGTGGATGCAAAAGTACCCAAGGCCAGCAGACGAACATGGAGCAGGAATAAACAGAATACAAGGACATCTGGGTGGAAGTCACCAGTGCCTGCACATGGAACTGTGAAGATCACTATTTTTCAGATTTAGAAACTGAGGCTCACAGTGTGAAATAACACTCTCTGGAAAGGTGAGTGACCAGGTCTGGATTTGAACCTATAATTCCAGAGTGTTTGTTCTTTCCACTGAGATTGCTAGATTGCTGGTGTCTGGGGTCCGGTGGCTGAAAGCATTGACTTCTGTT